ACTCCCTGTGAGAAGGTCTGACACAGAGGAACATGTGGATCAGAGTGAATGAAAGTGTGTATTCACAGACAGGCCTCAGGTGTGTGTGTGTGTGTGTGTGTGTCATCATGTCAAATTAGTGATTTAATTAGTCAAGTTTGTTTTCACAAATGTAAAATTCCGTGGATTTTTCCTCATAAATCTCATTTAAATGGGCTCGGTGTTAAAGGAATGTTCCGTGTGTGTGTGTGTGTGTGTGTGTGTGTGTTTGACATAAACGTGTGGTTGTGTGAGGCACTGACCTGTGGTGGTCCTGACGTCCTGGACCTGAAGGCTGACTCTGAGTGGAGACATGTCTTCCTGCTTGGACACGAAAAGAGAAAAAGAAATTTCACTCAGGGATAAAAAAACAAAACAAAAACAAGTGAACATTTATAAATATATGTTAGAGTTTAAAATCAGAACATTTAAATAAAAAAATATGTTTTTCCAAACTAGGCTCAACTTCTACAGTTTTTTTTCTTGGGAGTAAATTTTCACTGACTCCAAACACAGCAGTTCTGATCTCACTGCTGTTGGCATTAAGAGCACTTACACAAACGTACCACAGGAGGCAGCAGTGGACCAGTCTCTCCTGTGTCTGTTTGGGCTTAAAACACTGATTTTCTCTGTGGATTTTGGTGCAGATATTTCTGTAATGATAATAACCATGATTCGACGTGGAGTTTCTGATTGGTCGAACAGAACAACATTTAAACTGAGACGTTAGCTCGAAGTTAACATCTGAGCAAAATGTTAACAACCCTAACAACTATAACTAGTTATAACTTTAACTACTCAGGGTACTGAGCAGCACGGTACTTTCTGCTAGCCTAGGCTAGGCTAGGCTAGGCTAGGCTAGGCTAATCAACTGTCACTCAGGGCTTAGCTGCCATGTACACGACACATGCTGCATCAGCTGTCGCTCTGTTTACGACACGTAGCCTGAAGCTAAATCAAGGTTGGTGGTAGTTTGGACTACGACCAACCTGGAGGTCAGTCCTGGAACTACAGGTCGACTGGATCGTCATGTTTCATCTGTACAGAGTTAATAACTTTCCAAAACTGTTGGAGGAAACACTTCAGGTTGAGTCGAGTCGAAGACAAATGTTCACAGACAGAGAGAGAGAGAGAGAGAGAGAGAGAGAGAGACGGTAGAGAGACATCTGGCAGAAATAGGAAGCCCGGGACGTGACTCACACACCTCAGCGTGTGTTCAGCCGTCATTAGTGTGTGTGTGTGTGCGGCACGTCCTGCTCTGTGGTTGGGCTAACAGCTGCGTCAACACCAGGGCATCAGTGTAACGTTCAACACTCGGTGTCCGCGGCGTACGGTCGGAGTCGCCGTCATCTTTGACGCCAGAGTCGGTCTCACCCGTCAACAATGACCGTTCACACCACGAGGAGCGGCCGACGGCTAACAACCACTGATGTGATAGCTAAAAGTTAGCGGCCAATAATTTAGTTAGGGAACTATTTGAGGTACTTAGGCTCCCCCTAGTGGCACGTGGGGGAAACCCAAAATCTTTTTTCCATGTATTTGTAGTTACTGTGTTTTAAAAATGATTTTAAATACCAGTTGTTGTAGTACAGTTGTAGTACATTTGTAGTACAGTTGTAGTACAGTTGTAGTACATTTGTAGTACAGTTGTAGTACAGTTGTAGTACATTTGTAGTACAGTTGTAGTACAGTTGTAGTACATTTGTAGTACAGTTGTAGTACAGTTGTAGTACATTTGTAGTACAGTTGTAGTACAGTTGTAGTACAGTTGTAGTACAGTTGTAGTACATTTGTATTACAGTTTTAGTGCAGCATCAGCAGTAACAACAGCAGCAGCAGCAGCAGCAGCAGCAGTGATTTATCCACACGTACACGGTGCTCTGCTCTAACCACTGATTTGTGATCGCAGTAATGAAGCCATAAAGTCAGAGACATGAAACGAAGCAGAGGAGTCAGAGCTCGTAAACGGCCGACGCTCCGGGTCGGTCTGGGAGGAATCTGCACGTTATCCGGTCGGATTCTTGTTTAAGGAAAACAACTTGGACATGGTGGACGGTCACGTGACGATTCAGTCAAGACTTCCTGTGACAATCTGCTCCACTGCTGCACTGCACACGAACCCCTAGAGGTACATTAGGGTACTGCAGAGGACGTACCGTACCGTCTGCATGGACGGACTAATTGAGGTCATTTCTGTCAGTTTTTTGTGTGGGGGGGTGTACGGCACCAGGTCGCTCAGCGCTCAGATAATTTGTCCATTTTCTCGTCCTGACGGGGAATATTTTATGGAAATGCAGCTTTAGGAGCTTTAATGGAGTCTGTGGGAGTGGCACACAGTCAGGAGAGCTGATGAAGATGAAGGTGATGAAGGTGATGATGAAGATGATGAGGGTGTATTCAACAATAAAAAGCCCAGTCAACATTAGGCACAGACTCAGCAACAAACAGCCTTACTTTGAAAATTATATATATATTTATAATTAATCCAGTAATTAGTTTGTTAAGAATATTAATATTTATATAAATATTACTGACAAAAGTCAAACTGAACTGTAAAATGATAAAACTGTACTTTTGTCTGTACTTTTTTCAAAGTTCAAAAATCGTAGTGTTAATATCACAAAAACTTTGGGTTTTTTTTGTCTCATCTATTATTATCTTTTTTTGTCTAATTTAAAGCTTTCATCTTCTTCTCTCCAGTAAACATTTGACCTTTCATTCACTTCTGTCTTTAACCAAAGACCTAAAGGTTGTTTCACACACACATTTTCTGTTTTTCAGTCGTACACTGGACCTTTAATTTAGTTTGACTCATAAATTATTGATTTATTGTCTGTTTTTTTTCCTTTGGGTTAAAAGTTGTGGACGTTCCTGCGGCAGAGACATCAAATACCACAGGGTTAACGGCGTTAGTCATTAACTCGGCCTTTCAGACCAGTGTTTATGTCGTTAGTTAGCATGTGAGTCATCCTAATTGGTGGCCGCCGCCCATCAGAGTGATGACATCATCAGCTGATGCTGTCACCGACACGCCGTCAGGATTTACCTCCTGAGAGCCAGAGACGGAGCGGGGGTGGTAATTATGTGGAGAACTGAGGCTCAGAGTCGCGCTGCTGCCTCTACTGTCCAGGAGGAGTAACTTCAGTCTGTGGATCAACACGTCCAGACGGAGAGGATTTATTTTGTCAGTTAACGTCGTAGGTTTATCTATCATAAATAAGTTGTACGTCACATGACTTCTGGAGAGGCACAGAATTAGGAAAAGGAAATACAGGACTAAATCTTGACCAGCTAACTATTAACTACTTAACTATTAAACTATTAACTATTAAAAAACAGATCTAAAACGTTCAAACGCAGATACAGTACCAAAGGAACCTGTGAAGAACATGGAGGTTCTGTTTCCCTCCACTGTGACGCTCTCCAGAGTTTCCTGCTCACAGCACAGCTGCAACATATATATATATATATATATATATACACATTTATATATAAATATGTACGGCTGATGTGATTTATGAGAACTATATTTATCATGTTGCTGTTCAACTGTTACTGCAGCTTCAGATGGAAATAAAGCCGTAGACGCTAGCGTAAATGTTGATGTAGCCTAGGTTAGCTAATGGCGGCTAAAAGTTAGCCAATCAATTCATTGTCTCAGTCTCAAACAGTCACATTTCCAAATTCTTCAAATCTCACTGTAAGATCAGTTCAACAGGAAGTGATGAATGATGACATCATTCCAGCTATTTTCTCTGTGTCTTTAAAATGTTGTGTTTGTTTTTTTTTTTATGGGGGGGGGGGCGGGGGCTCAATATTTCTGGATCCAGTGACAATGATTTTTTCCAGGCAGCTGTTCAAATATTCCATCTGTACGTTTCCAGCTGAAGTTATTCTTGAACATCAGATCAGGCTCAGTGAGACTGACACGCTCATCAAACACCAGGATCCTTCTCGCCCGCGGGAACCCTGGTCGCTGTCAGAGGCTGATCTCTTTGAATGTTCCCGACTCTAACGTGTGTCGGAGCAAACGGCACGTCTGAACAGCAGTTATTAGCTGCAAGTTCAGGGCGAAGAATGTTTCACCCCCGGTTCTCATCTGTTTATCTTGTTTGTTTTATTTCATTGACTCCTTGGTGGCGCTCCAGAATTTGCAGGTGATCACATTTGATCTTGTTTTCTTTTTTCTGGATCAGGTCGCGGAGCCCTGAAGGCTCACGGATCAGACGGAGTCTCTGACGTTACATATACACATATGTGCTAACAGTAACAGGAAATAGTAAAGATAGACTTAAATATAATGTTAAAGATGACGAAAGGTTAAAGAGCCACAGTAGAAACTAAAGTTTGTAAAAAAAAAAAAAAAAAATCCGATCCTAAGGAGGTTTTCACACTTTTACTGCAGTCGATCATAAAAAGATGAAGATTGTTTAAGTTGTTCTAGAAAAAACATGCTAACATCTGTAGCCAGAGAAATAAAAACTTTACATCCAAGTGTCTACATATACTGTCCCCACAAACCCTTTATACGTGTGCGTGTGCATGTGCGTGTGTGTTCATACACACCGTTAGCCTTTAGCTCTCCTGCTAGCTGGGAGTCTGGGATGGTTTGGTTTTAGGAGGTCAACGTTAGCGCTGCTTCCTCTCCACTGGAACTGGGACTGCAGCTGGAACTGGAACTGGAACTGGAGCTGGAACTGGAACTGGAGCTGGAACTGGAGCTGGAGCTGGAACTGGAACTGGAGCTGGAACTGGAACTGGAACTGGAACTGGGGTGTCAGCGGAATTTACCGTCAGCCCCGAGAGCTAACAGTGAGTGAAAAGTGACTCAAAATAGTTTTGTTTTTTTTTTGCATATTCAAAAAACCAATATAATTAGTAAAAGTTACACCAAATAATTGTATAAATAATTATAGATAAAGGGTTGATGTTAGCAACAGCTCAGAGCAGTGATACTGTGTTTATAAACCATGGACTTGTTGTTACTCCTGGTCCAGGCTGTGTCAGAGTTCCACTCCCTCGACAGGATTCAAACTTTGTCTTTCAGGACTTGGACTTGGACAAATCTCAAACTAAAAACCCTGGGACCTGGACTTTTCCACCAAGCCCATGTTTCAGACCCGTGAACCAGACCTGCTGACTCTGACTCTGACTCTGACTCTGACTCTGACTCTGATGAACCTGGAGTCACCAGAACTCTAGAATCACATCCTCCGGTGACACTCAGACTAGACCCAGACTTTGGTCGGTGACTTGGACTCGTTAACAGAACTACCGGTCACTGCTGCCGCCCACGGTTCCTCTCTTTGTCGCAGGACCTTTTCTCCAGTAGAGGGAGCCAATAAACGCACGCTGCCTTCGTGTCAGTCGTCTTTGAACTTTTTTAAAGCTGTGACGTTAAAACCACTGGTGAAAACCTTCATTATTTCCTGAACCCAAACTCTGACATCACCGCGGTTCCGAACAGTGATTTGTGGAGGAGCGGAACATAAAACCAGGAGCAGTTTGGTCCTTAATCTTCAAGTCTTTGAGCACAGGCGGGTGAAGACAGATGGTCGGTGGTGGGAGGAGCCAAAGACCGGCAGCAAATGAAAGATTGTTTGAAGTCAGAAGTGCCACAGCTTTATGCCCATCATTTATCTTGTTACCAATAGATCAAATTCACTTGGTGTGGAGTCATAAAAATGTATGAGAATGTAAATGTCTGAGTGAGCCATTCATCTTCTTTAAAGTGGCAAACGTAACATGCTTCTCATCCAGGGTGATAAAGTCACACTTCACTCTTCACTGAAGGATTCACTGTTGACGCTGAGTTCCATCAGAGCAGCAGGTACAGAGGCCTGGGCTGTAAATCACTGGACAACACTGACAGACCTCCACCATCAATCTGGACCGGGACGCGTCCTCCTGCTGCTGCCGCCGCCGCCGCCGCCGCCACCTTCTCCTCAGGACTTTGTTCAAAAGTGAAACTGGAAGTTGGTTTTTAGGAAACTTTTCCTGACGCAACGGAGAACTGCCGTTGACAAAAAGGTGTTTGTCAATGAGTATGGATTAACGTGGACGCCCTCATCCCCCCCCCCACCTCTAACTCTGGGCCTGTTCCATGAATCATATAATAAAGGGACAGCTGAGGTGCAGCTGAGGGTTCGACGCCTGTTGGGTCATAAAACACGTTGGCGTCACAGAAGAACACGGAGAGTCTGAGTCAGTGATGTTTCCTCTTCTCGCTCCCTGGCGTCCGTCCTCTCTCTCTCTCTCTCTCTCTCTCTCCCACACTTCTGTCCAGTTAGATGAAATCTTCACCAACGTTTGAACGCGCTCATCCGTCTCCGACCGTCTCTCAGATGAACCTTTCAGCTGAACAGACGGAAGATTAAAAAATAAAAATGTTGCCGTCTGAGCCGTGGAGATGGATCTCCTCGCGGAGTTCACCTCCTCCGTGTTGTAATTTGAACGCCGCCCTGGTCCATTCAGTCAGCCACGAGAGTGAAGGCGGAGCGGCGCCGACAGCATGATTCATCTGCCGCTCCGCACAAATGACAATTTTATTTCTCACTGCCACTTTCACTGCGAAAAATCACCGACACACTTCTCTACAAGGCGACCGGTGATTGAAGGGAACGTCAGCGCAGCTAGCCTGGTGTGTGAGGTTAGCATCAAGATGAGGGCGTGGCTCTGAGGCTGATGGGCAACGGGTTCAGAACGACACAACGGGGGGGGGGGGGGCTGGGGGGGGCGTTAACCAGGTGAGGATATAGAAGGGGGTGTGAACAGGTGTGAATGCTGGTGTGAACGGTTGTTAGTCTCTGTATCTGCTCTGATGATGGGAGGAATCGAACCCTCAACCCAGGACTGCTGGGATTGGCTCCAGTTCCTACCGTGACCTAGAACAGGCTTTAGGTGAGAGCGCCTCCTTGTGGACACTCAAACCAAACCTGTCCAAATGAAAAGGTTCAAGTTTCTGCCTGAATGAGAAACAAGGTGGTAACAAGCTTGGGTCAAAGGTCAGACTCCAAACGAAGTCACATATGGATTGGACTGTGTTCAACTGCGCCCCCTACTGGTCATACAACCCTGTGCTTCAGAGAGACTCTGCTGGGGAAACAGGAAGTAGAACAGACGTCCTTTGTCTGGATATCTCCGTCCAGCTCATTTCCACGCCTCGTGGACGACGCCATCGCCGCTAGCAGCGCAGGCGCTCCAAAAGGAGAGTGGGAGGAAGCTAAAGAGAAAAGAAAGAGGTCCACGATGGAAACGGGAGCTCCCGTCTGCTGCAGCGGTCGGGGACGGAGCTGAGCGCTCCCAGACGCCCGCGATGATTAATGACTTACGGCCACGCCGCGTGGAAAGGCTGCTAATTAGCTACAGGCTGATTAAAGACAAGTAAACTTCTGCTGATAACCCGATTCTGTTTCTCCCCAGCGCCGACACTGGCATGTGGAAGCTCTTACTGCCAAGTTTGCAAGAAACAGAGCAGCGTTGAGTATGATGAATGGCGCCTCCAACGGGCTCTAATTTAAAACTATTTAGCGTGTGACATATTGGCATCGCGCTCCCTCTCCGTCTCCCTCCGTTCTCGTTTGTGGTTCCTGCGATGGCGTCCAGGTTTCAGGGTCTGTTGTTTTCACTTTGTGCCTGGCTCGTCCCTGAATAAAGTCTGGTCCTGGCTCACGGCCTGTTTTCTTCTCCTGGTTGGTGGGTTGGTTTTTTTTTTACTCCTGTTCTTAGATTTTTTTCCTCCAAACATTTGCGTTTTCTCCATCGTTGAACAGAGACGGCGTCTGCAGGTCAGAAGGTCATCTCAGAGTGGACGGTACTGAGGGAGGTTGTCCTCAGAGGACACCACCTACTGGACACATACTTGACTTCAGGTATGGGACGTTCTTAAAGGTCTTCAACGACAGCCAGAACAACCAACACAATCATCCAACATCCACTTCCTGTGACGTCCTGAGGTGGCACTGTTCCTCTAAAAAAACACAAAGTGTGAGAATTAACGAATGAAGAGGTTTTGTTGACAAAGTTGGTCTGTGGAGACGAACAGTCGTCAGAACTAAACTGATCCAAACCGTGGCCTCCGACATGAACTGCCCCGCCACCGTCTGCGTCATCGCGGCCCCTGATCGTGACCAGGTTGGTTAACGCCCTGCTGTGTCTGATAGCATTGACTGAGTGTTAGAGGAAGGATGAGTGGAATCAGCGCACACACGGCGCTCATCGGTCAGAGTGTGTGTAGAAACACGTTTGACATCTTTATTTGGATTCATTTTACAACTTAACGCCACCTAGAGACCATACAGTGTGTGGTCCTGAGGTGGAGAGAAGGACAACAGCAGTGACAACAGCAGTGACAACAGCAGTGACAACAGCAGTGACAACAGCATCGTTCCAGATCCAGAGGAGCAGCAGGAAAAATGCAGCACCGGCAGAAAAGGAGCGGCGGAGCCGGTTGTTAGCGCTGCCTGTTAGCGCTGCCTGTTAGCGCTGCCTGTTAGCGCTGCCTGTAGTCCATTAGCCTTGATGGACGTTCCACTAAAGCACAGTCAAATACAGCAGTGGAGCTCTCATTAATATGAGGGGGGGTCCGGGGGAGTCTGGTTAAGGCGGACACTTTAATGTACAGCTCATGATTAGGTCTAAGGAGTGGAATTTCACTTTAATCTTTTTCTGCGCCCTGAAATTTCCATCTGCGCGGCGGCGGCGGCGGCACGTCGTTTTTCTTCAAGACAAATGTGCTGTTTTTCATGTTCCAAAATTAGATCAGAAGAAAACGATTAATCATGTCACGGCCTGGGAAAAGAAACAAAGATCTCTGCCTGTTAGCGCTGCCTGTCTCTCTCCCTCTCTCTCTCACTGCACTCACACCTCTCCCCCCCCGTCTTCCCTTCTCTCCTTCTAAACAAGTTCTGGACAACGTTCCTGAGGACTTCCTTCTTCTCCTGTCGTCCTTCTGTCCTTTACACTCGATAGGACAAAGGATAAATATGACACAGCTGAGTCAGCAGTACAGACCAGAGCAGTACAGACCAGAGCAGTACAGACCAGAGCAGTACAGACCAGAGGATGTACCAGTGAACGGTGGCTGTGACTGTTGTACAGTGAGGGGTGGGGGGGGGGGGTGGGGGGGGTCAAACAGACAGCCAGATCAGATGTGGTTTTTATGCATAAAGTCCAAAAAAGAATCCTCAAATTTAACTTATTATCATTTTACTAAACATTTCCTGAACATTAAGAGTTCGTCGTTCTCCGTCCAAACTGTTGTCAACAGTCATTGGTCAAAAACCTGAACTTTTTTCCAGTTCCTACAAAGACCAGTTTTTCCCCAGAGCAGTACAGACCAGAGGATGTACCAGTGAACTGTTCACGTCTAAATTAAAAACTACAGTTTTATTCTTTTTAAACTGAGGGTGAAAACGTGCTCTGATGGATTGTTGCTGTTGGTGGCGCTGTGTCCCTGATGACGAGGTGTTTTTCAATTAGCATAGCCCCCCCCCCCGTGGTGAAGAACAACAGATGGCGTCCTGTTTTCCGTGACACTGTGACCAGGTTCTAAACCTGCTGGAGGAGACGGGCTGCAGATGAGTCGACCACAGCAGCGTCAGGTGGCGCCCCCGCTGACAGTTGTAGCCCATTACAGAAACATTGATGTTTTCACGGTGTGACAAAAAGGATTCCTCTCTCCCTCTTTCTTTTTTCCTCACTTCTTTCACTCCCCCCGCCCCACAGAGGACCTGTCTGTCAGCCGGCTCTCCAGTCATAACAAATCACTGGCACTCAGCTGAGGCTGAGCATTGGGAGCGTCAGTGGGGGGGGAGATAAATGACCTGCAGGCCTTTGAAGTGCCTTGGCAGTTCAGATGGCTCCACGGCGCTGACAGAGAAATATACACAACAGCGGAACCAATAATGAGAACATTAAACATTCCTGCCTCCTGACAGGCTGACAGGAACGCCCAGCCCAGCATCAATCATCTTCCCAGGCATAACCTTGACAATTAGTCTCCTCTCTCTCTCTCTGTCTCTCTCTCTGTCTCTCTCTCTCTCTGTCTCTCTCTCTCTCTGTCTCTCTGTCTCCTCCTGCAGCAGCTTTCAACCCCAGACTCCAATACCCACACTGCACCGGCTGCCACGCAGACCTGGGGTAGAACGGGGGGGTGACAGCGAGGATCAAGTGGACCCTGAGACACAGACCCCCCCCCCGTGTGTGTGCGACAGCGACCGTGGGCCCAAACATCCACACGTGTCAGAGCGACGCCTCACTTCCTCTCATGTCTTCTCATTCTTCCTGTCTGACGTCGACTCTGATTTGCACAAATAAAGGCAGAGTGTGAGAATGTGTGTGTGTGTGTGTGTGTGTGTGTGTGTTTTTGTTTGGTTTTCCGTCGCTGCTGCCGACTTTGTAAGTTCCACATTATGCAGTACACAGACACTAACTCGTCCACAAACTTTTCAAATGACGTTGGTCCCGTTGACTTTCCTGGAGTCGTGTCGCCCAGAGACGTCAACGAAACCTCCAGGATTCATTTAATCATTGGTCCATTTCAGACCCGGCGACAGCTCTTTGTCTTGTTACTCAGAAACTCGGCTCCTATTGGACAACGGTCGGTCCCGGCTGTCAATCATCGTCGTCTTCACTCCTTGAACCACGGTGACGCGGAGGTTTGAACCTCAGATTAAACACCGTCCAAAAACCTTGACTACAAACGTAACAATCGGCCGAAACCAAAGGTAATAACATGAATCCTGGTGGTAAGAAAAGGTAGTGCAACAAGAGTCGCTCACCTGTAGCCAGAAACACCAAAGCACGTTATTAGCATGGCTAAACGTTAGCAAACGTTAGCATTATTACAGGACTGACCAAATAAACGTAGAATTGACCAAAAACGTACTAAAAGTTTCCATTAGCTTATAAGATAAAAAATATCTGCAGGCTTAAGACGGTAAGTGCTAGCTGCTGCGGCTAATCTTCATCTAATTCAGGAAACTAATTAGTACGTTTCCTGAGAAAAAATTTTGTTTTTTTAATTGAATATGTCCAGAACAGACGTGTGAAAAATGACTTTTCCTTCAAACAGTGAGGATTTGGACCAAAAGTTCCCAACGGGAGAAAACCGGTTAGTGCTCCTGCCTTACAGTAGGAACAGGAGCGGTTCGATCCCCGGTGGTTACTGACGGTCTGTGTTGGTGGTTCTAACTCCTGGGTTCAACTTTCAACGACTCTTCACAGCCGTCAGTCACAGTTTGTGTCAAAAATATAATTTAATAAAAACCCCCTCCAGACGCCCCCCCCCACTGCCCCCCCATGCTGAACTGTCAGAGTCCAGTGTCACTCTAGTGTTTCCTCCATTAAGCAGCCACATGTAAATCATCACAGACAAGCTGACCCCCCCGACTGACCCCCCCAAAATGTTGACGCTCTCCAGTTTCATGCACTCGCACGTCGTTGTGGATGAAACATTTTGTTGCCGCTCCAGAGGAGCCCCCCCCCCCCCCACCCCCACTCTTTGACTCACACTGGGTGAAAGCACAGCTCCGTCAGGGACCCTGGTACGGGCAGCCTTTCAAGAGAGTATTTTTTAACCTGCTTATGGGAAGAGTAATAAATACGTGGGGCGAGACCTTCTCGTGGTTACGAAGCTAACCTGAAACTGAGCTGGATAATTAGCCGGACCTGAAGATGATGGACGACGTTCATTACCCTTTGGGACGGGGCAAATCTAAATGAGGACACAGCTAATTGCCGTGCAAAGCAGTCTGGCATGATGGGGGGGGGGGGGGGGGAGGGTGGTCCCTGCCTCCCCCCTCGGCCTCACCCTTCCCCTGGTCTCTGGGCAGTGCGCGTGATCGCCCCCTCCTGTCCCACCCCAGTGCCCGTCCATAAATCAGCAGCTGCTTACTGCGCCCCCCCCCGAGTCATCAACGTGGAATGAGAGCAGTGACAGATTCCATCCTGACTTCATCACACTCCACCGTTTCTAAACAGTCTTGTTTTCTGCCTCACCCCCTCACCCCTCACCCCCGACTCTCTCCTCTCTGGGTCAGTTATTCAAACCACTTCATCAAACCGCTGATAAAGAGCTTTTTCAGACAGCGTTAGCTTCAGAGAGCGTTAGCTTCACAGAACGTTAGCTTCACGGTGTCGACTCAAACTAACTCTCAGACCAGATTTAGTCCTGGGACCAAAAATATCCTGAAACAGAAAATAAAAACCAGGAAAAAGTATCAGAGTTAAAAAGAAAGAACTCTTATTGGTTCTTTCACCTCTGACCTCTGGCTCCGCCCTGTGAACACAACAAGTCCCAGTCACCTGACGGAAGTGTCGGCTCCTGTGGTTCACACTGATGCTGATGTCACTGCTGCTGCTGCTGCTGCTGATGTCACCGCTGCTCTATATATCTATCTATAGACACTGGACTAGACCTGTGTGTATTATCAAGAGTGTGTGTGTTTTTCTCTGTGATGTCATCACATTCAAACACCTTCACAGTGGTTTTTCTTTTTTTTGAGCTCAGACTGTGCTGATGTCATGAACCTGGTGGTTACAGCTGGGACTGTAACCTGGCAGTGGTGGATCAATAACAAACCAAGACTAATGAGCAGGAAGTCATGAACCAACAGCAGCACCAATCAGAGCAGCTGAAATAAACAACACATTCTTCTCCCACATCAGTCCGTCTGCTGAGGCTAACGCTTCACTTCCTCTCAGATTTTTCTCACTCTTCTCTTCACATACGTAGACAATTAACTGAGACCTGGACTGTGTCCACACAAGCTCCGCCCACTGAACACACACACACACACACACACACACTGACACTAGACATTCACTAGCACCTGAGCACCCTAACCTGGGGTATGCAAACCGTGGCTCCTGAGCCACATTTGGACCACATTCAGCCTGACTGTGGACAACAGTGACATCTATTGGACAGTTATTTTACTAGGATTTTCTCAAATCACCTTAGAATTGATCTGAAGCTCTGTTGACCGGCGGCCATTTTGGACCCACCCACCACAGTTAGTGTCCAGTTTGGGGGGGGGGGGTGTAAATGACCAAAAACTGAAGGTTTTTGGTCATTTACATTTCCGTGCCAACTATTAATACCCGCCGGCCTCGCCGCCGCCGCTGCAACACCTACACAGGTCTGAGGCCGCGGAGGACGTGTCGTCGGTGGCGTTTCCATAAATCAGGAACGTCGGCTCCCAACGAAGGAGTGGAAACAGAACCTTGAGTGATGTGAATGTGAGCAACGTGTGTGTGTGTGTGTGTGTGTGTGTGTGTGTGTGTGTGTGTGTGTCAGTGTAATATACAGCGCTCCACTTTATGACGGTGATTTCTTACCTCAACTCTCATTAGACTGGATCACAATCTTCAGTCAGACTCTGGAGGTGAACCTGGACCTGAGGATCCACGACCTGTGACCGTGGACTACAGTCGGACCAGACTGGACCGTCGGCTGTTCTGACACAGAGAGGGTTTGAAGGAAGAACAGACAGAAATGAAATGAAAAGAAAAATGGAATTTAAATAAATAATCATTTAGTTGTTTTATAAAAGAACCTCAGGTAGAAACTGTAGAAGACGACGCCTGGAGATGAGATGAACTCTGTTGGAGATGAACTCTGTTGGAGATGACCTCTGTTGGAGATGACCTCTGTTGGAGATGACCTCTGTTGGAGATGACCTCTGTTGGAGATGACCTCTGTTGGAGATGACCTCTGTTGGAGATGACCTCTGTTGGAGATGACCTCTGTTGGAGATGACCTCTGTTGGAGATGACCTCTGTTGGAGATGACCTCTGTTGGAGATGACCTCTGTTGGAGATGACCTCTGTTGGAGATGACCTCTGTTGGAGATGAACCGACTGAAGAAGGTTCTCTGGAGTCGGTCCTGACACCTATTCACACCCACGTTCACACCTGTGGCCAATTCAGAGTGAACATAGAGAATGTTCTGGACTGAGAGGAAACTGAAGAACAAGCCACACAGGGAGAACACGTTCCACGACCCACAGTTTGGGCCTCAGACGTCCGGTCCCTCAGACTGTTGGACTGATCTGTCCATGTTGGGAAACCCGAGCCCAAAGTCAAATATTTATGTCTTCCTGTTTCAATTTCATGTGTCACTCGGTTGGGATTCAATGACGGCTCTTCAACTTCAACCCCGACTCTTCTCTAAGGTATCAGTCAAAATAGCCCCCAGTAAGCACCGGTTGACGTGGGCCCTGACAGACGCCGCTCGTCCCCGAGGTCTCGGGTTTCAGCGCCGCGTGACTGAGGCCGCGGCTCTGACGGGACCACCTGCCCGCCGGCCGCAGCCAACTGGCCGGGACGATGATTGACGACCAGCGTAAACTTACTCAGCGGGGTCTCGGACACATTTGTGCATTCAGTCACACGTAGAAGTGTCACATGACACTAAGAGCTACGGCAGAGCGGGGGTGGGGGCTGGGGGGGTCTGAGAGCGGCCAGGAATGACATCCATAAACGCTTCAAAGTACAGCTCACGGTGTTGGCCTTTCATAACTATCCTGCATTGGTCACATGGTGAGAGACTCCTCCTCTAGGGGGCACTGGTGTGCACAGGAAGTCACACAGACAAATGAAGGCAGGTGTGGATCTGAGCCACAAGTGAAGGAACAGAAACCACAACATCCACAGTCGGTTAACAGCAGTGCCACCTAGTGATGGGTTAAGTAAACACCAAA